TGTGTGTGTGTGTGTGTGTGTGTGTGTGAGAGAGAGAGAGAGAGAGAGAGAGAACAAGTGGTCATTGCTTGATGACTGTTCATTTAGTGACCATTTGAAGTTAGGATGGCGCTAAAGCTACTTATGACCGGTCCTTGCACTTATGACCGTCCCAGCACCCTGCAGTCATGTGATCACAATCTGGGCACTTGGCAACCAGCTTGCACTTATGATGATTGCAGCATCTCAGGGTCCTATGATTGCCATTTGTGACCTTCCCAGCTGGCATCCTGCAAGCAAAATCAATGGGGAACTGCATGATTTGTTTAATGACCATGTGATTCGCTTAACAACCATGGCAATTCGCTTAATGCCCACTGCAAAAAATGTCATAAAATTGAGTGCAGTTATATGATGCTTCACTTAACGACCGCCCAACTTAACAAATTTTCCAGTCCCTATTATAATCATTAAGTGAGGACTACCTGTACACACACCCACACACCCACCCACAATCTAACTGGAGTCAAGTTTGAAGCTTGAGATTTGATCCTGTAAATAAATGCAGGGTCTTTCTTTCATTTGTGGTGGTCATGAGTGAAAGCTATACCCTTTTGGCAGAAACCTTTTGGGGAGATAAGTATCAATACTAAACAAAGAATCAAATGTTCCCCAGAGTTAAGCCTACTGGGTTTATTTACAGGACCGAATCTCAAGCTTAGAAATAAGGAACTTATCAACAATTTTAGAAGCTAAAATAATAACTGCTGAATATTGGAAAACTTTAGATAACATAACAATTGAGATATGGATTAATAAGACCTCTTCAACTGCTACATTAAAAAAAAAATCACAAAGTTGAAATAATGAAACATCAGAGGCAGGAACCACAATTCTACCAAATTTAGATTGATTTTATAGTTTATCTCAATAGCAACAGATATACAGTAATATGGTAATATTTTAAATATATGGTACATTTGTATGTATATAATGCATCTCTTTATTTACTTTTTAGTAATTTTTTGTATTTGCTATGTCCTATTTCTCTATGCATCATGGATTTACGTTATTTAGTTACTTGATAATATTTGCTAATTATATACAATTTAATTAGTATATATAGTTAGTTGGAATTAGCAGTACCTAAATACAATGAGTAATTAAAATATGCTCTATTAACATTTAGAAAGCATTCACCCAAACTGCCAAAATACTGCTATAGTATAAAATTAATTTGCTTTAATAGGTAGGTAAACTATATCTTTATTTCCATAATTAAATTTCAGTTTTTCTAAACAAAAAAGTCATATGAGAAAGAGTAGTCTTTAGCATCTTGCAAACAGTATTTTGAATTTTAGAGGTAAAAAAACCAAATGGATTTCAGCTTCCTGGAAGTGCTTTTATCACATATTTTGTTCGCAAACATTTTTCTAAAGTTTTAATATTATAACAGAAGTCCTGTTTTATTTTCAAATTTTTAAAATTCACATACTGAAGTTCTTTTAAAAGAGCTTCTTTCCACCTAACTGATTGGATAAAAAAAAGTCACTAATCTTCATTGTCTGATTAACCTTAGTATTCCAATTGCATATTAGCAGTCTGACATGGTACTTTTCTCCTAATGAATGTTATTGTTTGCCTAATAACGTTAGAATGATCTTAAAAGTTAAACAACTTCTATTGATATTCCAAGTCTTGTCAAGTAAGCAATGTAATTTTGCAAGACCTAGAAGTATGCCATCTTGGTGATAGTTCTTACTGCGTGGAACAATATGCCCCTGGAAATTCATACTGCTCCCACACATTTGACTTCCTACAAACCGCTAAAGGCCTGGTTGTTCAGGTTCCCAGGTTTTCAGTTAGGATGTTGGTTGAGCCTATTTTGGGTTTTTTTAGTTCTGTCTTCTGGTGAATTGTCTTCTTTTTTCTTGATATATTTTCTTTTCTTTCACATTTTTTGAAAAGGAGATATGTGTTCTTCTATAGATAACATATACTTAAGTATTTGTTACTGGTATTTAAAATTTATTCTGAACTATATCAGCTATAAATAGGGGTGTGCAGCACTTTGGATTTTATCTCCAAAAGACATTTTGGAGCATGTGAGAGCCTCCCACTTGAGATCTAAGGGATCCCTACCCTTTAGCCTTCCAGGGGGCTGTGAAGACCTGGCTCTTCCCCCAAGCATTGGGCTAGGATGGGGGTGAGTGGGGAGGCTGTTTGGTCTGACGCCTGGGGGGAAGGGTACTTTTGTTTTTCTCCTTGTTTTTATGGATCGTTGTGAGCCATCCAGAATCATTATATGAGATAGGCGGCCATATATGACCTGTAAATAAGTAAACATAGCACCTCCCTGCTAGAGCAGATCCGTCTTTTCCCATGATATACCACTTTGAAGTATTGCAAAGAGGTGCTATATCTGTATTCCCACATAATCTGAACCACCTTTTGGAGACTGAATCTACAGTATTGCATAGCTTTAATCAGTGAGTTAGAGGATCAAGGTGTCCAAACCTTAACAATTCCAAAGTTTGACAGAGGTGCTAAAAGTCCTTCTAGAACTTGCCACTAATTTAATTTTTTAAAGTGACAATATGGAATATTTTTCAACGCAAGGAAAATATTAACTATTTTTATTTAATGTAATTTAAAATTAAAATAGATTAAACCAAAATTAAGTTCTTCATTGGCCATATCCACTTTTTGGATTATAGATCCCAGTATAATATGTACGGTACCCCCAAAATGTACCCCTGCCATAGACCAACTCTATAACTTTGGTTGAGCTATTGATCCAATTGAACACCAGTTAAAAAAATGAAAATAATGAGTCAGGAAATAGCCCAGTTCTGACTTGTGCTAGAGTATATTAAATATTCATTGCTTATCACCAGTCATTTCAGCCTAGTTCTTCAGTTTAAATATTTGCCAGATGTTGGTAACTGGTGTTATTGAACTGGGATGGAAATAATAAAATAAAACGACCAATTTCTCACTCTAATATCATTAAAAACATCTGGGGTTCTACCTAAATAAATATTTAAGAAACTGGGTTAGAAACCAATTATTTTATATTATGCTGAAATATAATAAGGAAACTCCTGCATATGAAGTTTACTATCAAATGACTGATAGACTCTTCAGCTACTTAAAAGACTGATTTGCTTTTTTTCTTGGACCAATCACCAAAAGTCTTTTCTCCTCCCTCCTCATTTTGTATGCCATGTACCTTAAAAGAGTTAATGCGTTAACATTTTATTTCTTCAAAGTTTTTTAAATGCTATTGCTGTAACAACTGCTTCGCATTAAATACACTTAAAAGAATTGAATATGACATTCTGGTTTGCATTCTTCAGAACAATAAATGAACACAAACACATACATGCACAAATCTCCTGTTCCTTTCATTCAAGGAAACAGAAAACTGGGTTTATTAGCATGAAAGAATCTCTCCTCCAAAGTAAGCTCACTATGGTAACAACTTAAAAGGCAACTCTGAGCAACCAAGTAACAATGCTTTGCGATTACCTAAACTCTTTATAGTTTCCCCATCTGCTGCTTGCTTTCCCTTCAACAAGCAAACAGTATCTCCTTGTTCATACTGTGGTTCCCACTCTTCTTCCTCCCCCAATTTCAATTCCATTCCAAAGGCTGTGGATAGGAAATCCTTTGGTGTTTTTTCTTGGGGGTGTGTGTGTGTTCTTCTATTACCTCATA